TGCAAAATCAATATGGTTACATGTTCATAACGCGTATAACTAAAAATGATATCCTCATTGGCGACGGATACGATATAACTCATTTGGACCTTTAAATCTAACTATTATTACCAGTATCTCTTAACTTTTAATTATAAAAATCCAACTCATTTGGACCTATATATAGTTGTCTCATTACAACGTGGAAACCCAAATTCATTAAAAACTTCTTTTTTCGCCAATATATATCATATTCCTAATTAATTAAAAAGGGCTATGATAAGTTTTGCTATAGCATTAGCAATATCAATATGGTTACATGTTTGTGACACGTATAACTAAAAATGATCTCCTAGGTATCTCACCATTTTCTCATTATTTTCATTTTTCGCATCATTTTCTCTAAACTAATCAAAGTCATCATTTTCTCTAAACGAATACTTATCAAATATCAAAGTATATCTATTTTGTTAAAGAATTTAATTTTCGAGTATTAAAGAATAATTCATAAATAAGAATTATTCCTTTTAATATATATGATATGAGTATTGGCGACGGATTCGATCCGTCGCCAATACTTATTGGCGACGGATCATATCCGTCGCCAATGAGTATTGGCGACGGATCATTGACGACGGATCGAATCCGTCGTCAATACACATTGGCGACGGATTCGATCCGTCGCTAATGTTTCGTCGCCAATGAGTATTGGCAACAGATTTGATCCGTCGCCAATGTTCCGTCGCCAATACTTATTGGCGACGGATGCAATCCGTCGCCAATAAGTATTGGCGATGGATCATTGACGACGGATCAAATCCGTCGCCAATACTCATTGGCGACGGATTTGATTCGTCGCTAATGTTTCGTCGCCAATGAGTATTGGCAACAGATTTGATCCGTCGCCAATGTTCCGTCGCCAATGCCCTGCTTTTCTACTTAGTGGCGAGCTCAACTGATAGAAGAATAACGCGCAATTGTCAAGCTCCCGGAAAGGGGGGGGGCGGGGGAATGGAACCTACAAGCACGAGGAAACTGCCTTTCAACCCCTATTACAATCTCTCCCGAATTTTACCCATTGAATTTCCTGGCAGATATGGGATTTTAATGCTACGTATTGCCTAAATCGCCTCATTAGATCACATCGATGTAAAGTGGTAAATTGTGATATGCTGGAATGGGGTGAAGATAACATTAAGAAGAGAGATATATATGCAGCAGCGAGCAGCAGGAATTGACGCTACGACTTACATTCCACGGGATATACCACATCTTCTGAAGCTCATATCCTTCCAGCTGTCCAAGTTAGCTTTGTGGATGGGATAAAGATCAGAGACTACGTTATGATGTCAAACTCCACTCCTACTGCAGCAATCAAGTTCAACTACGCACAATATGGATTCCGACCATCTCCAGCAGTGGCTTCTTTCTCCTCTAGGGGTCCAAGCGAGATGAACGGCGACATCTTGAAGCCAGATGTCCTTGCACCAGGCGTGAACATTCTAGCAGCATGGCCATCTGGAGTCGGACCTAATCCTAACCCGTTCATCCTTAAAAACTTCAACTATGAGAGCGGCACCTCCATGGCCGCTCCTCACGTTTCTGGAATCATCGCTTTAATCAAGTACAAACACAAGCAGTGGTCGCCAGCAGCGATCCAATCCGCCATCATAACCTCGGCTAAGGAGCTAGATCTTGACGGGAACCCCATCAAGGACGAGGCGGACAATAAGACAGCCGGTGTCTACACCACAGGAGCGGGCCAGGTGAATCCAGCCGGGGCGATGGATCCTGGTTTCATTTAAGACCTAACTCACGATGATTTCATCTCATACCTCTGTGGCCTAGGGTACAACAACACTGAAATGCACTGGACAGTTGGCTATTCTGTTAATTGCTCCCGACACAAAAAGACCAGCCCGCCACAGCTGAATTACCCCTCCATCGTGGTATCTCTCAGCTCAAACTCAAGGACCCAGACCATGCAACGAATAGTGACGAATGTAGGGGATGATAATGAGGTTTACCAGGCACGGGTCCAGGAGCCGCCCGGGGTCAGCATGTACCTTTCTACGTATCAACTTTCGTTTTCTAGAGTCCAACAAGACAAGGACTTCAATGTCACCCTCGTCATGAGCCGATCACCAGGGAAAGGGCTGGTTTCAAGGGGGAAACTCGAGTGGGTTTCGAACAAACATGTTGTTACAAGCACTGTCGCTGTCAGATTCGCCAAAATCCGACCAAATTTGGCGTCATCTGTGGATCCTATGCACATATCACAGTGGTATTCCTACGCTAAATAATAACTAATGTAATGATAAAATTCTCCGTATATTAATGGAACCTTTACTTTCCTCTTAGCAACTACTTAAGAAATACAAATAGACATTCCCTACTCAAAATGTTGTCTTTTATATATTTTTTTTTGACACTATCTCCAGTAAATGTTGTATTTTATATATATTTTTTAAAACAAATCTCCTTTGATTCGGATTATTAAATAATACATCTATAACTATTTATCACAACAAAATATATTTTTTAAGAAAAAGTAGGGCGACATTCCCTACTCAAAAATATATTAATACAATGAACTATATTACGACTAATTAATATTGTATGGATTAACCAATAATTCAATAGACTCAATTATGTTGTAACCACTAATTCGATGGACTCAATTTTACTGTAAACTCCTTGAATTTAATTGATTTTAGAGATTTCTTCTTATGAAAAGTTAATAAATACAATAGATTGAGAAATTAATTATTACAGTGATGAAAAAGAAAATAACAAATTTCAAGGAAAAATTATGTTTAGACCCTAAAATTAAAATGCTCATGTGATCAAGTTATTGCACTTTTGCTAAAGTATTTTAGCCACAAAATTAATTTTTCATGTGGTAGTTCAGTTGTGGAATCTTTACTTTCCTCTTAGGGGGTGTTTGTTTTATTAAAAATTTTGGCATTTGGTATGGATTATAAGTTTTGGGATCATAAAGTGAGTTTTTTATATTTTGGGATTTCATATATGATGTTTGTTTTAAAAAAATTTAGAATATTGAATCCTGAAAGTGCAAAAAGTGCCCAATTTTTAGAATTTGTCAAATCCTTTCAATTGGAGAGGATTTTAACAAATCTCATAAATAGGTGTGTTTATCTCTCAATTGGAGAGGATTTGACAAATCCTAAATTTATCTTTTTGTGGAAAGTAACCTCACCAAGATAGCATATTCCCTTAAATTTTTGGAGGGATAAATGGACAGGAGACAACTCCCTGAGTAGTATGTTCCCAAATGCTCACCTTCTGGCTTTCTCAAAAAACTGCTCCATTCTATCGCAAGGCTTAATGCAATCTTCTACTTGGCAGTGGCATCCAATCCTGAGGAGAGGTATCACTCAGATAGCTAAGGATGAGACAAATGATCTCCTTAACCACCTAACCTACTTCTCAATCCAAGCTTCAGCTTCTCACGACAAGCTTCAGTGGCCTTATCTTCCTTCATGTTCTTATTCTGTCAAATCATTCTACGATCTCATACCCTCGGGTGGAGTTACCTCTTGTTGGACCCTAGAGGGGGGGTGATTAGGGTCAAGAGGCTTCAATATGCAATAAAAAACAGCACAAGCAAAAAGAATAAGAGAGCGAAAGCTCCCCCTACCAATATGCATGGGTGAGTATAACACATAGAAGGATATAAGGATTGCTCCCCCTATCAAAATGCCTCATGAATGTATGAAATGAAGATCATGGTAAACATATGTGAGTAAGCATAAAAGATATGCTTAGTTCTAGAATGTAAAACCGAATTTTTGGAAATATTTATAGCACTTGTGTTATCACAAAAGATTTTAATATTTTGAAAATTCAAATTATAGTCAACTAAACTTTGTTTCATCCATAAAACTTGAGCACAACATAGACCGGCGGCAATGTATTTCGCTTCCGTAGTGGACAATACAACACAATTTTATTTCTTGGAAGCCCAAGAAACAAGGGAATTTCCTAAGAATTGGCATGTTCCACTAGTACTCTTGCGATCTACCTTACATCCGGCAAAGTCGGCATCACAAAAGACATATAAATCAAAAGAGGTGCTTCTTGGATAAAATAAACCAAGGTTAAAAGTGCCATTAACATACTTAATGATCCTTTTAACCGCAATTAAATGAGATGCTTTTGGAGATGCTTGAAAACGTGCACATGCACACACACTAAACATGATGTCGGGTCTACTAGCGGTAAGGTAAAGAAGACTACCTATCATACCTCGGTACAATTTTTGGTCCACGTCTTCACCACTCTCATCCGCATCAAGTTTAATACTAGTGCTCATAGGAGTAGGCGCATGCTTGGAATTCTCCAATTTGAATTTCTTCACCAATTCCTTCGCATACTTGCTTTGTGAAATGAAGATCTCATCCTTAGTTTGCTTGACTTGGAGCCCGAGAAAGAAAGTAAGCTCTCCCATCATACTCATCTCAAAGTGATCCTGCATAACCTTAGAAAATTCCTTGCACAAAGATTCATTAGTAGCACCAAAAATGATATCATCAACATATATTTGAACTAAAATGAAATCATTTTTCCTTTTTCTCACAAAAAGTGTGTTATCAATTGTTCCTTTTGAAAAACCATTTTCAATAAGAAAACTAGAGAGGCGAGCATACCAAGCCCTAGGAGCTTGTTTCAACCCATATAAAGCTTTTTGTACCCGGTAAACATGATTAGGAAAAGCATGATCTATAAAACCGGGGGGTTGCTCAACATACACTTCCTCTTCTATAAAACCATTTAAGAAAGCACTTTTGACATCCATTTGAAATAGTTTGAAATTTTTAAAACTAGCAAATGCCAAAAACATCCTAATAGATTCCAACCTTGCAACCGGTGCAAAGGTTTCATCATAGTCTATGCCCTCCTCTTGATTGTATCCTTGGGCAACCAAACGAGCTTTATTTCTAGTTACAATGCCATGTTCATCAAGTTTGTTTCTAAAAACCCATTTTGTACCAATAACACTAGCATTGTTAGGTCTAGGAACTAACTTCCAAACTTCATTTCTTTGAAAATTGTTTAATTCTTCATGCATAGCCAAAACCCAAAACTCATCATTTAAAGCATCATTAACCTTTTTAGGTTCTAGTTGAGATAGAAATGCAACATTACCACATTCACTCAAGGCTTTTGAGCGAGTTATAACTCCTTTTGAAGGGCTCCCAATGATTTGTTCTTTTGGATGGTTTGATGTGAATTTCCAAGCTTTAGGTGGTTCAACTTGTTCTTGAGCATTGGTGCTATCTACATCCTTTTGAACTTCTATAGAGGGAGTGTCATTGATTTGCAACAAGTCCAATCCTCCCTCAATATCATCATCATCATCTTTCCTAGGCAACATAACTTGAGATCCAACATTAGTCTCATCAAAAGTAACGTTTATAGACTCTTCAACAACGAGGCTTCGTTTATTGAAGACCCTATAAGCCTTACTTCGAGGTGCATAACCCAAGAAAATACCAACATCAATTTTGGAATCAAATTTATCATGGTGATCTTTTGTATTTAAAATAAAATATTTGCAACCAAAGACACGAAAATAACCAATGAAATGAGTTTTTCCATAATAAAGTTCATAAGGAGTTTTCTTAAGCTTTGGTCTAATCAAAACACGATTTAAAACATGGCAAGTCGTATTGACGGCTTCCGTCCAAAAGTATTTTGGTAAATCAAATGAGTTTAACATAGTACGTGCCATCTCTTGTATAGTGTGATTTTTCCGTTCAACAACATCATTTTGTTGTGGTGTTCTAGGAGCGAAAAACATATGAGTTATACCATGATGAGCACAAAAATCATAGAAAAGTTCATTTTGAAATTCACCACCATGATCACTTCTTATTTTAACAACTTTCAAATCCTTTTCATTTTCAATTCTTTTGACATGATTAGCAAATTCTTCAAAACAATCATTTTTCTTTGCAAGAAATATTGTCCATGTAAAACGAGAAAAATCATCAATAATCACAAAAACATAGTGTTTGCCTCCAAGAGAGGTAACACGCATAGGACCAAATAAATCAAGATGAAGTAATTGCAAGGGTTTAGAAGTCGATACCTCATGGATGGATTTGAAAGAAGACTTTGTTTGTTTACCTTTGGCACAATCCTCACAAATTGTATCTTTTATGAAGTGCAAGCTAGGTAGCCCTTTCACAAGATTCTTCTTAGACAATTTTGATATTAACTCCATATTTGCATGTCCAAGTCTCTTGTGCCAAATCCAAGGATTTTCATCAATTGCCGCAAGACACTTCACATCTTGATTCACTAAGTCATTCATCTCAAAAATGTATACATTAGATTTTCGATTAGCAATAAAAACAATTTTTCCATCCATACTAATGATGCATTTATCCGGTTTAAAAGAAATATCAAAACCTTTATCACTTAATTGGATAATGCTAAGAAGATTATGATTCAAGCCATTTACTAAAAAAACATCTTCTATAATGGGTGAGGGTTTCTTACCAATAAAACCGATACCAATGATTTACCTTTCTCACCACCACCGAAGGAGACATTGCCTCCTTCAATCCTTGATAGGGTTGCAAATAGTTCTTTGTTGCCCGTCATATGATGTAAGCAACCACTATCAAGGTACCACATCTCCTTACGTTGTTGCCGTGACGTTCCCTACAAAAGAAGAAGATGAAGGTGTAGTAGCTTTAGGTACCCATGTCTTGGGTCCTTGGTGGTTAGTAGTCTTGGTACCTTTGGGTACCCATATCAAACCATAAAAATCTTC